GATAATAGAAGTAACAAACAAAGCGACCAAACAACGAATAAAAGCAATGATGAGAAAAAGTTATATAAACATAAGAGAGTCAATGAATAAACATACTCATTGATATGAAGAAGTCGAAGATGCCGAGCACCAAACGGACATGAGGAAGCTATTAGTTAAAACAACAAAAAAGAATGGCAAATATAAATAATAAGAAGCCATCTACAAACCAAGAAAGCAATAAGAAATGGTGTAAAACAAAATCGCCATCTAATACATACACCTACAACCAACAATATCATATAATGAACATTAATAACATCAAAGAAAAAGGAACAAACAAAACATAGTGCGCACCGTGTAACTTTCTAAGCAAAAACAAATGCCAAACAAAGGTCAACAAAAAAATCTAAAAGACAGATTTAAGAAAAATGGATAGAAAAGGATAAAAAACGTCGACAACAACAAGCACATGATATATAAATAAATTCTATGGTCAAGTGCATGTGAAAAAGACAATCACAAAATGCTTTTCAAAACCCTAAAACAAAAGAACTTAATAAGGCCGAATAATGCAATAAAGAAAACATCAATGAAAGTTTTGAAATGAAGAAATCAAAGAAAGACAATAATAGAAGAAAGAAAAGACAGACCAAAAATCAAACAACAACAACAACCAAGACATAAGAAGAAAAGGAATAAAACAAAACGAGATACAAACAAGACATAAAGATAAAGCATTGATGAAAAAGAGAAGAATGAAAAGGAAAACCTAAGGAAAAAAAGCACAACACAACGAAGCATAAAGTCAAAAAGGAGTAGTACTATATATACGAAGCAACCATAGGTAAAACATAAAATCTAGAAACATAGAAAAAAGCCACAAACATGAAAGAAATAAACAAACCTAGCACAATAAACAAAAACGATTACGGGAAAGAAAGACCATGAACCATAATAAATTAAATAAAAAGAAAAGAAAACATAACAAACACTATCGGTAGATGGTAATTAAATACAAATAGAGATAAAAACCGAGAAGGCAAACAACAAATGAAAGCAATGTCAAATGAAAATATCGGAAAAGATGAGGGAATAAAAAGTGGAGGAGAAAGAAAAAAAAGAAATAAAAAATCACCAATTGGCACTGAAAGGAGAGGAAAATGAAACGAGAAAAGAAAATGAAGGAAAGACATTATATGAAGCGAATGAACATAAAAATGAATGGTCACCTGTCAAAATAAGAGCTCGAATGAAGTAAGAAAATTAATTTAATCAAAACTTTACTAAACCAAGTCTTATCGACAGTGAAAGAAAAAGATTTAAATAAATAAAAGGAAAAAATAGTTAGATTAGATATGAATAGAAGACTTATCTAGTTATAATTGAACTGAAGAAGAAATAAAAGAGTAAAGACAAAGGCAAGGCATCTTAGCAGATCACGAAGAGGTATGATGAATTAAAAAATGAATTCCAAGGATGAAAGAACACGTGAAGAATAAAATAAAATAAGGGGAAATCTAGGATCGAGTCGATGAGGACGGATAATCTCAAAATGCCCAAGCACCTCCACACTACAACCACAAACGAAAAAGAAAAAAAAAGATAAGAAAACATAAACCTAAAGGCACCATAACTAAAAGAAAAAAAGGTACAACAACCGGAAATTGAAAATAGTTTTTAGGCCATCAAATCCAAGAGGTACTCATGATTTTTCGCAAGTTGAGGTAAGTCGGGGAAACTAATATGCAAATTAATTTATTTTGGAGGACCATGATAGTAGAGCATTTAATACTTAGTGATAACCACCTAAGAAGAAGAAACTAGCGAAAGAAAGACTTAAAGAAAACCAAGAGAATGGGGCGGAAAGGTTACCTAACAATGGAAAAAGACCAATCTTTCATTCTCATTACCTTCTCGCCATCCTTCTTATGTGCTCGCCTTCGTGTTTCTTCATCTCGTTGTTCATCTTTGCTTATTTTCCATGATTATTTTGTTTTTCCATCTCCCTTCCTTGCTTTTTTTATGTTCTCAACCAATGCCCTTGCCATTATATTTTTCTTTTTTTTCTCCCTTTCTTTCTTTTTTTCTAATCTTAATCAACATCCTTTGATTTGATATTTAGTTACTTTTTTGTCATTAGGTGGTGTTGAGGGCTTACGCTTGTGCCCTATTTCCGCATCTTCATTCCCTCGTTGAATGTCCCTTTTCTTCTTGTTTTATTGTTTCTCGAGCAGGATTTAATGTTATGTGGTTGTGATGCTCTTTTCTATTTTTTTTCCTTTTCATTTTTCTCTCAAATCATTTCACTCTGGACACGCACACTTGGTCATCATTCTTCCCGTCTCTTTAATTTTTTGCCATCTCTCATATTGCTTGAATGTCCCTTTTTGTCATTTACTCGGTGTTTATCAACCAGCATTGAATGCTTTGCAATTTGATACTTTTTCATGATTTCTTTCTTTCTTTTTTTTTTTTTTGCTTGAAAATCCTTCTACTTTGTTTGTCATGGGTAGATTGTAACATCTTAGGCCCCACTAGTCATTTTGTTTTCCCTTTTATGGTTCTTTTTCATTCCATTGCTTTTGACGACCCTATTGATTTCTCCTTTTTTCATCCCATTTGGTTAGGCTTTATTGGTTATAGAAGAAGCAAAAAAAAAAAAAAAAAAAAGAAGAAGAAGAAGAAGAAAAAAGAGGAAAGGGCAAAAATGTAAGCTAACAACACCATTAGATGGCAAACTCAAAATTAAGTAAACAACTAAAGGATGTATATTAAGAAGAGAAACAAACCCATGCATAAGCATAAGGGCCGAAACAAACGATAAACAAAGCAATAGGGAATCAAATGGACGACCAAGAAGAGTTACAAAGAAGAGCACATTATAAACAATTTAGGTCCATGGTGTTTTATGCAAGAGTGAACAAGTGGTGAACAGTCTCAATCTCACATCTTTTAGAGTATTTTATAATAGAACAAAAAACTCTTTCATCTTCTACTTTATTCCTTCTTTTCCTTCTATACACGAAGGAACCTTCGAGGGATGGCCTCCTCTCCTTCCTACCTAGTTAGGAAAACCTTGTTTCTTGGGCCGTTCATGTAAATTAGGTTAATCTCCGAGTTGGCGAATAAAATCATGCAACCGTGCTTCTATATTAATTAATAAGTCTAATCAAGCATGAATTTATCGGATTAGTTTATATGAAAAGTCTTTCCTATTGCATGGCACATGTGGAGGAAACATTTGGCCAAACTCGATGGGGGGTGCTTTTCTTTTATGCATATTCAAAAATAAAACCTCTCTTCTCACCGACCTTTTCTCGCTCTATTTCTCAATCATTTGTTGATCGTTTTTTCATTGGCATGTTTTAAGCCATTGTTGATGGTTTTGTAATTGCCTTACGTGGGATTTACTTATACCTGGTGGTAGTAGTAATATAAAGACAATGGTGAGGATGGGGATAGTGGAGTTGGTAGTGGTTTTTGTTGTTTGATAACTTATTGATCCTTGTAAACAAATAACAAATTTTGTTTTGTTGTTTTCAAAAATAAACCTTTATCATTATAATGCATTTTTCGCAAATAGCATCTTTATTGATTAATAGTAAAATCCCAATCTAGAAATAGTTGAACAAATTATGGCAAACTACATTTCTATTCTTATAAATTTACCGATGTTTCATTTTTATCTATGTAGTTTAAAATTTTCTAATAATACCCATTATAGTTTTTAAAAGCATCACTTTTTTCCCTTACTACGTATTATATCTAATAAAAAAAATCATATTTTATGTTATTTATTATGAAAATTTTAAAACCCTAAATATTTTATAATATCTCACAAAAAAATATTTAAAAACCTAAAAAATACAAAACTAAAAATAGAAAAAGTAATATGTTTAATGATTAGGGATAACATTGGAACTTAATGGAACGAGAAGGATAAATCACAATTTTAAAATATTAGGGTAGAAAAGGAACATGAGTGAATATATAAGGGGAAAAATTCCCTTAGTTATTGCTACTAAATTGTTAGATTGATTGGTATGGTATGCTTTTATATTTTAATTAGCATCGGGCTTATTAACATATTAATTATAGGTCTTTGGTTTAGTGGTAGCAAAATTCTTACAAGTGTAAGAAGTTATAGGCTCAAATCCTCTCTTTAGAAAATTTGTGTTTAAAATAACTCATTACAAGAAGAAATTAGATTTATTCTTTATTTTTATAGCAGTGACCTATTTAGCCAATCGTGACAATACAATTCTCTTCTTTTATTCTATTAATTATTAACTATTAACGTTAACTAGATAACTCGCTTAACTATTAATTGTTTCGTTTATCATAACTTATAAAAAGTAAGTTTCGCCTTTTGGTTTGAAGTTATTCGAAAAAAATAAGCTAAATAATAACTATATTTAAAAAAAAAAAAAAAACTTAAAACAATTTTTTTACATATTGGAGATGGTGCAATTTAAAAAAAATAATAAATAATAAATCTTTAAAAAAAATTAATTTTAATAAACAAAATTTTGACTCAATTATATATATGTATTATTCTGGTCAAAATTATAATTTTTATTTAAATTTAAAACGATTTATAATTTATAAAAGTCACATCAAACTTAACCTTAACCTTTATAAGAAGAATTCCTTGCAAGGAAGGTGGGTTAGAAGGATTATCGGCCCATTGCTAATGGAGGACTTATTTTTTCTGCAAGATGGACTAGGCCCATAATATGTTAAATTCAGCCTATTAGTCTTTCAGCAAATATCAAAAAGCCCAAAGCATCTTGTTAGGCCTCGAAATTGTAGTAGTTTCTAACAACTTGTTTTGAGAAACTACGTTGCATTCTCCTGAACCATTCGCGTTCCCTCTTAAACTCTGAACAAAGAAAACTGGATACTCCATATTAAAAGTTAGTCGATCGATTATCATGAGGTGTTTCAAAATAAAGTGGTTGAAAATGAGGAAAATAACTACGTTAGTAGGGGGATTAGGTTATTCTTATAAAAGATGGATGTCATCAAGCGAAGGAAGGAAGAGATATGCGGCAGTGTGGGGAAATGGTGATTACGGAAGATTAGGATTCGGAAGTTTGGAATCTCAGTGGAGACCTAAGCTTGTTGATTCCTCCTCTTTTCATAATCAGAATCTTAAATCCATTTCTTGTGGCGGTGCTCACACTCTCTTCTTGACAGGTCCTTCTTCTCTCATTCTCTGTCTGTCGTTTTAGCTCTTCTTTTTTACCTGAATTGTGAAGTTTTGCTCGTTTTGGAGTTGTGTAATTGATTCTCAGGGTATCTGGAAATGATTGAGAACTGAATTTTGATTTTGATTTCTTTTTTGGTGGGATTGAATTCTGTAGCTTTAAAAGCAAGAAGGGCTGGTTTGCATTCGGTTGCAGATATAATTCTATGTGATTTGATTTTTAGACTTTTTTTTTTTTTTTTGTTCAATTGTGTCAGCTATAGGAATTTTAGGTTTTATAGCATTTTCTTGTACATGTGAATCTATTATTTATTTTATTTATTTATTATTATTATTATTTTGTGAGTTCTATTAGTTTAGTTAGTGTACAGCTTACAAATTATTGTCCCTTGACAGAAACCGGGCGTGTTTATGCCACCGGTCTTAATGATTTTGGACAGCTTGGCATCTCAGACAACAATACATATTGTATGGTACTATATCAGAAACTCTTTTTTTTTTCTCAATTCTTTCTCCTGTTTGTCTATGCTTCTGTCATTAGGTGCCCTTTTTTTTTTTTAACTCCAAACGGGATCTTTAGATGCACTTGTTGTTTATTGGATGTATAAAAAGATAGTTTACTTTGTTCTGAACTTGTGGTCTTCTTAACCAAAGAGCTTGTAGCCTAGTGGTAGTGGTCTCTTGCAACAAAAGGTCACAGGTTCAAATCCTGGCAGACTAGTTTTGTTAAGAGCTTGGGGGTGCGAGTTGAAAAAAAAAAAAAAAACCTTGTGGTCTGCTTAGAAGTAGAGAAAATATGAACATTTAGGTGGTTTAAATTGGAGTCCCAAGTAACTATTATTGCTTAGCCATTTCAAATGATGTTCTCCCATTGTTTTTGAGAGATGTTTGCAACTTAGCTTTGGAAGCGACTCATTTAGAAAATTGGATGTTATTATTAACCAGAAGAAAGTTGGTTAAATACAAATAGGTCTAAACTCTCTATCTTCATACAAGTAATAGACCTTTTATGAAAATTCTTTATGTTGTGAATTGCACTGATAAATGGTACTTTAGCGTCTTTTGTTAATCTATGATTGATCAGGCTGTTCTCAAAATTGTCAATGGAGCAGTTCTTTAGTATTTCGCATGTGCCTTACTGTTGCAGGAGCCACTTGAAGTTTCTAGACTCAAAAAGGAAATTGTACAGATCTCAGCTGGTTATCATCACTCAGGTGCTATTACAGGTTTGTGGGTTGTTATACCATTTCCGTGGAGCTGGGTGAATGTTGCTTTCAAGTGATTCTTTAAACAGAAAACCATTATTATTTTTTAAGTAATTACTTCATATCATTACGGAAGAAAGATGAAAGAATGCCAAAACAATTAATTCCATAGAATTGAGACAGCTGAAAATATGATTTAAGAATTGTCATATATATCCACTGGAACATCTAGTGGCTGCGCAAGAGCTACACTTCATTTCATATCACTCCAGTGTTTGTAAAACTTGCTTGTTTTAGAATTTCTGAATCAATTACTTTCCGAGTTCAAAGATTTACTCAATTAACATATAGTGTAGTTTTTTTTGGGGAGGGAAGGTTTGAATGGATCATGTCCGAGTTGCTCATCATCTCACTGAAATGCCCACTCATAGTTTTTCTATTCCTTGCCTAATTCTTCTCAATTCAACCTTCTTCACTCCAAATTTCTAGTATGTAGAATTCTTTTTTTCCTGTGAATTGGAAGAGGTGATAAAAGTGCCAGTTCATGGTTTTTATTTTGTTTCTTCTGTTTATTGATTGTATTATTTGCTTGTTGTGACTGTGTATCTTATCCTTGTCCTTTCTATGACAATCCATGTCATTTCCTGTAGTGGACGGAGAGCTCTATATGTGGGGAATAAACTCAAATGGACAGCTGGGTCTTGGAAAAAGTAACAACTGAACTTGTACTGCGTGCTAAATATATAGGTGATATCATTGTGATTGCCTAGCTTCTCATATTTACGTTCCTCCCTTTTATCTTTTCCTTGTTTGGAGGGTAGAGGTGAGGATTGGCGGTGATGGTATTCTTTCTGAAAGGGAATGTGTACTTGCTGCCTAATTGCTTTGGACTTATGTATCTCACTGATATGCAGAGGCTAAAAAGGCTGTCCCTCTACCAACAAAAGTAGAATGCTTGAGCGGAATCAACATTAAAATGGTAGCTTTGGCTTCAGAGCACTCAGTTGCAATTACTGGTCTGTAAAAGGAAAATCTTATAGTGGCATTCTCTTTTTTCTTCTTGTTACCACTCACTGGTTCCTATGACTATAAAGTAGCGGTATGGTCTAAACACCGTTTTGTATTGATTGTTGCTTATATTCTTCGACAGATGGAGGGCAGGCCTTAAGTTGGGGAGGAGGAGGATTTGGGCAACTAGGTCATGGCCATCAATCAAGTTTTTTAGGGTTTTTAAGAAGCAGCAGGTTGAATTTGATTGCTGTTTTATTGTGGAACTCGTTCTTTTCTTGCCTCTTTAACTCGCATACTATACTTTTCGAATATTTGAACATGATGACAGACTTATTGCATCAGAAGTTATTTATGCAATTAAAATGCGTATCAGTTGTTTGCGCATAATATTGATGTAGTACTGGTGTACCTTATTTCAAGGTCATGAATCTAGGTGGCATGAATTTGTTTACCATTCGTTCTGCTATTGTTTCCCTGAGCCTAAGATGGTTTGACTTCTAAGTATATACTAGAGCAATACTTTCTCTCTTTAATTTTTCTCCAGTGCTTACTGGAAATGAGCTTTTGTAATTGTGTGTTTTTTATATATAGTCCAATTTGCATAAATTATATCCAACAGGCTATGAAGAAGCAGCATGTTCATGTGATTACATTTGATTTGACAGGTGCGAGAATCCACAAACACACACATATAGTTTACATTGTTTGTGTCAAAAATTGGTCTTATCCATATTCTGTGTTATATTTCTTTAGTTAGTTGATAGGGCTATAGCTCTAATCTAGCAACTGAGTTGGGAGGAGACCAACTCAATGAACACCAAGTCTGGCATCAAATAATCGAATTGGCTTAAATTTGTGTACAAGGGACTGGTTGGGATTTGTTTAAGCAACTTTCATGGTTGCTAATTGCTGCTACACAGAGAATTTGAGGTGTCTAGCATTTGTATAAATTTGTCTCAAGAGTGTCTATTGTGTTGGAATTCTATGGGTCTGCTGAATTGCTTGTGTTACCTAGCCGTGTCTTTCATTTTTGTCTTTAATTGGTTAATTATGTACTGTAATATGTTTCTATATTTCTTTTGCAGTGAATATACACCTAGGCACATTAAGAAACTGGAAGGGGTTAAGGTATTTTACAGATAAGATTTCAGTTGTTGATTGATAATGTCTTCTCTGGAACGGAAGTTCACTTCCATTATTAATTGTTGTCTCATAGCTTCAATACGAATGGATTTGTAGGTTAAAAATATAGCTGCTGGCTTGCTTCATTCAGCCTGCATTGATGGTATTGAGCTTATTCTCTATGATTTTTTTTTTTCTCAGTGTTGATATAAGACTGATGTTAATGTAGATTTACTTTTAACATCTATAGCTGGTATGAATTTTTGGCATTGCAGAAAATGGTTCTGTTTACGTATTTGGTGAAAGAGCAGTAGATAAATTGGTCAGTGCTAGAATTAGTGTTTTGATTGATTGTAAGCAATTTTGAATTTTGCTGACTTCTTTGGACGTATCTTATATTAGTGATCTACCTGATAGAAATGATCTCTTTTTGATAAATTTCTAGGGTTTTGGAGATGCAAACAATGCAACAACGCCATCTATGATACGCAAATTGCCATATTCTCAAGAAGTAGCAAGTGGTGGCTATCACACATGTGTTGTAACAAGTAATTTATTGGTTTCTTCAAAGTATTTGTTTTTTATATTCTCATATTTTTGTGCATATCTGTTTGTGTATCAACATATGTGCCATCTTATCACATTATGTTTTAGGAGATGTGAAAGTGAACAGAGTTTTCAGTAGTTGAGCAAGTTGAAGGAGTTTGGAAAACGACACTGATTGAGGATGAAAAACTGAAGTTGGAATAAAAAGGGAATATACTAGGCTGTTTCAAAGGGATGCTAATGGTCAGAAAGGATAAATTTATCAAAGATATGGAGGATAAAGGTGGCCATATTGTTAGGAAGCTTGATTTTATGATGTTGGTTTTTTCTCTTTTATAGGTTTTGTATTAGAAGGAAGATATTTCTAGATATATGATTGAAGGTAGAAGGAAGATATTCCTAGATCTATGATTGAAGGACCAAATCACTGTTCTGTTTCTAAGAAGAAGTCTAGGTTTGCAGAGATCTTTTGAGGTAGAAATGATAAAAATAGCTTTGGTCCAAGTGTTCATTGTGCTTTTATTCCAATTGTTTTAGGACATTGTAAGGGAAGACAGTAGGTCATTATGGGTGTATTTTATGAATATTTTGCTAATATGCATGTTGGGAGGATTGCCAACCCCCAGTTTTATCTATCTGATTCATAAAGGGTTGGTCCAAATAAGTCAGACTTTAGATCATTAGCCTACTGACTAGTTTATGAAAATCTTCATGAATTTTCTGCTAAGAGATCTGTTGGGAGGAGTGTCAAAACTCATCATTTCTAATCCATAAAAGTGATTGTTGATCAAAGTCAGGGTCTTTGTACCCATTAGTTCAAAGGACTAGATTTTAGGAAAAATATACTGAGGGTTCTCTCTATCTCTCCCCACACACACACACACGCACACACTTGTATACTTGTGAAACTATATGTTCTCAGATATGCCATTCCATCCATTCCATCATGAATTTATGATTAGTGTAATCTAATGTGTTTTCTTTTCCTTTTACTACCTTTCCATAGGTGGTGGTGAACTGTACACTTGGGGTTCAAATGAAAATGGTTGTCTTGGTATCGGGTATCTATATTCCTTTTTATCATTCTTAAATTTTTGGCTTGTAGAATGTTCACTGCTTCGTTGATTTGTGTCAATGTTGTTCACAGTATTATAGATGAAAGTTTGTTTTGTTGAACTTGACATCTTCATAGGATAAAATATGTTTTGTTGACAGTTCTACTGATGTCTTGCATTTACCAGAGCGAGTTGAAGGCCCTTTTTTGAGATCTCCTGTTGACAAGGTTTGTATATTATACTACTGTTTTTTGGACGTATATGTTACAGAAATATCTTGTTAAATTCTGATACAGAAATTATTTTAAGAGTGTTACTTTGACTAGTTCTCTTTTTCCAAGTAAGGATAGCATTTCTAACATAAATTCTTGCACTAGATTCTTATTTTTAACTGTTTTCTGTATGAAAAATGTGTGTTCACAGGTATCTTGTGGTTGGAAGCATACAGCAGTGATTTCAGGTAATATATATTTTAGTTTGAAATTTAAATGTAAATCTATTATTTCAGATCTAGATTTCTGACTTTGCCAGCATGGTTAGATGGTTGTTCCATTCCGTGGCAAGTTGTAATGATATATACATGTTACTATTGTCTCAGACACGTAGAGAAAGATAGAAGATGTGGTTAAGTTATTTGACATGGAAGCAGTGTAAAATGTCTTCTATAAGTTGCATACCACTCTGGCCTCCATAATTATTTCCCTGTTTGATATAGCATTTATTTAATAGTTAGAGAAACATGTTCTCTTAGGAAACCAGAAGATAGCATGTTCTTGAATTTGTATTCTATGCTACCCATATCCATGTTTGCAGTTCCCACACATACTGCTTTAGATGCATAGATTGATCCAGCTTGGATTGCTATTAACGTCTAAAACAAGGGGCATGAGGCTGAAAAAGTTATAAAAATTAACCTTCAAGTGCAAGTTCTTTGTTCCATTTTATTCAAATGAGTAGTTCTCTTCTTGCAGTATATAGTTTTCTTTTTTATGCCATGCACTATGCATTGTATAGCATAGAAAAAATTTTTGCTTATGAATGCTTTAATCAATAACTTGAGTTTAATTATTTACATTCAGATGGCAATGTCTTTACCTGGGGTTGGGGAGGATCACATGGAACATTTTCTGAAGATGGGCTTTCTTCTGGTGGACAGTTGGTTTGTGTTCCTGGTCTCCTGTAGACTATGAAATTACTTTCTTCCAATTAGTTATGTGCAATTCTTGAAATCATCATTTTAAATATCAATGCCCCAGCACGTGCTAAAAAACAGATCCCTTTTGTTGGAGAAAAAAGAAAACAGATATTTACACTACCATTAATTTTGTTTTTCTGTGGGCCACAATGGCCATGGCAAGTAAAAGATGATCAACTATGATACTTGAAACCATTATGCAAAGCTGCAATGGATCACCAATGACGATGGTGCCTTCAATTAGTACCAAGTTTTAACTCATTTCTGCATAATTAAGTCAGGGTTGTTCTTACATCTCTCCTGCTTACAAATTTTTGTTATTGTGAAATGATTAATCTTGCCCACCCTACAAACAATATTGATACTAACATACAGTTCATGAAACTGCACCATTAAATGTTTAACACTTCTACTTGATATGAAACTTCTAATATATTTTGATGACATTGTGGTAAATACATTATTGGATTTTGCATGGTAGCATTAAAGGTTCATCATGCATGTTTTCTGCTATGGTGAAAATAAAAATGCTTCAAAATATTGTTCAAACCAAACATAGAATGTTCATTGATTCACTGAACCTTTAGAATGTAATTGTTACACCTTACATTTTTTGCTATGATCTTTATAAAATCATTGCTATTAACTTCTGTGCTTCCATATTTGTCTTTATGAGTTATGAATATATGACATTGTGTACAGGGTCATGGAGATGATATTGACTATGTAAATCCTACATTGGTTGCCTTTGAAAAGAAAATGAAAGCATTGGAAGTGTCATGTGGATTTAATCACACAGGTGCCATACTTGAAAGCATTGAAGCTTAAGTTGCGGTTGCAGTTCTTCAATGAATGGAGGTGGTTTGAATTTTTTTCATTATTTCATTGATTAACTGTTTTTCCACACATTCAAAATATCAATCACATACCATCAGTCATCAAGTCGGAGACCAGGTGTTCATGCTCGTAAATAGAACTCCAGAAAGGTGCATTGTACATGATGAGGTCAATGTAATTTGTATGTCCTTGCATTTACAAAAAGTAAACTATTCCATTTACTGCTGAGATTGGAGACAAGAAATGGTATGTATATCAAGCTTTGATCATTAGGCGGAAAATTACTTCACATAATGTAAACTGTTGATCGAATTTCTTATTGATGTATAAATAAATCATTCAGTTTCTGCTGAAATTTCTTCTTCTGGTTGTGGTTACCAAGTGCCATCGTTTTTGCTAGCTCCTTGTTGGTGCTTCTATATCTTTCTTTTTTATCCCTTCCTTTTCCCTTGAAACTCTTGGATTGATTCAAGTTCATTTTGGAGTGAAATAAAGAGGTAGAAAACAGGAGAAATGGAGAATGACATTAAATCTCCTTTTAACTGTCTCTAGACTGCTGACTTTTTATTTTTCAAAGAAAGGGCCATTGACCTAAACATGGTATGGTCAAATTATGTTTATAATCTAACATGTAATGACTTCTTAGAGGCATATTCATGTCAACATTATCTGAAGATGTAAGGAATAAATTTATCAGATTCTTCTCGAGGAAGCAGCATTAGGACATCTTTAAAGAAGTTATTACATGTTTGATTAAACTGGTTGAATATGTAACATTTATCTCTATAAAGTAGGGGTGGCAATGGATTGGTTATAAAACAGATATTTATTTTATTCGGTCTAATAAATATCCATTAACAATGTCCAATGAGTATTGAAGTGAAGAATAATAAAATATATATATATACACTAATGTAATTTCGGGATATAGATATTCACTAATTTATTTAGATTAGATTTTTTTTTATTAATATGCGAGAGATCTAATTGCATAAAATTTAAAAATTAAGGATTAAAATATTTTTTTCAAAAACTTTAAGGACAAAAAAAATTATAAATAAATGATCAAAATGAAAGAAAAAAAATTGAGGATAAAAAAAAATTCAAAAATTATGAGTAAAATAAATATTTTTGATAAATTAAATTTAGCGGCTATTTAATTTGTATTAAATGGGTCGATAAATTAGTATGGACTGGTATGAGTCTGTGTAAATATTTATATGATGATTTTTTAATAGATAATGGATAAAATATTTTTTTGATAGATATGATAAAAAATTAAATTAATAGGATAGGTATCCTTCTATTGCCATCCAAGCTGTAAGGAAAAAAAAAGATGGATAAAATCATAACTAGACTCATTTAAGGGCTAGACTACAATTTCGAAGTTTTACCGAGTCAAGCCTCAACACATTTTTCGGGCTCAATTTAGAGTTGAGCTAGGTCAGGCCTCGATCTATCTTCATCCATGAATCATTTTACGAACTTAGATCGATCCAATCTGTGAAGAAGTTCAACCAAAAACAAGTATAGCATCATGTCTTCACTCCCTAAAATCTAAATCACTGTTGTATAAAAGATGGGGCAAATCCTAGTATGTTGACTATTATGGATTTTCAAGGAGAAAGAGACTTTTTTTTGTGTTTTTCTAAAAAAGGACTATTACGGAAGAGTGGTTGAATGTGAACTTAAAGCTTTTTAATTTTCTTAAGAGAATGATTCTTTTTGTTTTTTTTTTTTTTTTAATCAAAGTGAAGTAAATAGGTGTAGAAAAATATAATTTCGAGGTTGAGGTAAGGTTTTCATTTTTAGACCGCGGTGGAAAATTTTCAAATTGCCAACAATCTTATGCATATTTTAAGGCATAACGAGGCAATTGCCTCATTCCCCTTTTGATACATGGAGAGGAGGAAGAAACAAAAACCAATCGAATTGGGGATTGAAAGACATATAGAAACTCAATTGAATTTGGGAATTGGTAGAAACATAATTGAATGGAAGGATTGGGAACTCTTCGGTTATCCGAGATAGACTAATTAAGAAACTAGGCTTGAGTTGTATCCGATTTATCCGTGTTAGACCAAAATCTTTATTATTAGTTTGGACTCGTTTATATATGGGTTACTTGTATTGGACGTGGGTATTTATTATTAATTAGGGCTCGTAAATATTAGTGTCTAGACTCTTACTCGCTAGAATAAGCCTATTAAGGTTATTCCGCCTTATTTAATGGTTATTTGTCATGGTCAATAGGACGGTGTAAACAATAGACAAAAAGAGGGATAAAAAAAAAGTTATAAAGAATTCTCTCTCTCTCTCTCTCTTCTTCTTCTTCTTCTTCTTCTTCTTTGTTATTTTCTTGTATCGATCGATATCGAGCACTTGATTCTCAAACCTTCATCATGGCCAAAAATGCAAAGCTTGATGATCTCAATAAACTGGAGGAAGCTTTCAAGGTATTAGCTCGAGACACTTCTTAAAAAATTGAAACAATGGCTAAATGGTTAAGAAGCCATTCGGACAAATGGGAATAAGTACACATACAACAAGAAGAGGGGTTTATAGAGATTAGGAACCTATTATTCATACTCCTTACAAACCTCGTCACCTAACCACCAACCTTGTTAACCTACACCAACGAGGTCCAACCTCCCTCATCATCCTCAAACCCCATCTTACCCACAACCATAATGATTCTTCCATTCCTACAATTTTTCGCCTATGCTTCGTACAAACCCCATCACCCAATTCCAAATCCTAAGTTCAACCACTTGTTGTAAACCTAAGAATCAAAATGAGATTTCCCATTATTTGACGAGAGAGGATATCAACAAGTGGTTGTTTAAGTGTAACAAATTCTTCAAGATAGAACCAATGAATGATTTTGAAAAAATCCAACATGCCTCATTCTTCTTGGATGACAAGGGTTTACACTTACATCAAGCATACTTCGAAAGCTCGGGAAGGAAGTTATCATGGGATAAGTATATATCTACAATGATAAGTAGATTCGAAACAAAGTAATATTCAATAGGCTCGTTAAAAAATCTCACTCAAGCATCCGACCTAAAAACCTATATATGTGAGTTTGGTATTATGTGGAACGAGTTGTTATAAATAAGCGGTAAGCTTTGAGCATATTTTTAGCAAGATTAAGGGAAGATGTACATGGTCCGAGTCTCGATACTCGAACCTCAAACCCTTATTACGACTTATGACTTAGCTTGAAAACAAGATAATATAAATAAATACATAAAAAAAACTCATTCAAAAACTCTTCCTAGCTATACAAACATAATACCCCCCTCCTTATTCAACAAGTTTAACCTAACAGACGTGACCCCTATATAATCCATCAATCACTACCACACCTTCTTCATCTAAACCAAAACCATACACACGAGATGAGGAGCAAGCTTTATATCAAACTCACATATAATCCATCAATCATTACCACATCTTCCCCATAGAATATCAAACTCACATAGAACCTATATATGTGAGTTTGATATTCTATAAAACGAAGCTGTCATAAATGAGCGACAAGCTTTGAGCATATTTTTAGCAAGATCGAGAAAAGATGTACATGGCCCGATCTTAATGTTTTAACCCCAAACCCTTATTAAACCTTATGACTTAGCTTGAAAACAAGATAATACATATCAATACATAAAAAATAAAAAAATAAAAAAATAAAAAATCTTTCAAAAACTCTACCTAGCTATATAAACATAATACCCCTTCCTCATTCAACAAGTTTAACCTAACGATCGGATCTCCATGTAATCCATCAATCACTAGCACACCTTCTCTACCTAAACTAAAACCATACACACATGGGTAGAACAACAAATCTTATCAACTCAAAACCCTAACTAGCAAGGAGTCCAATGAGAAAAGAGCTAAAAACTAGTGTTTAGGTGTTGTCATAAGACATTTTTAATCCTTCGTTCGATTTCATACAAAATTCAAAAAAAAAATTGGCATGTTGCATAGTTTATTTTCCATGACTTCTAGACATTTTTTTTAAAAAAATAGGATTTTAATTTCTTAGAATTATTCTTTATTTTTAATAAAAGAAAATAATCTAAGAAGAGGATTTGAGATACGATTAAAAAAAATGTGAAAAGTGAGGATCAAATGGCATTTAATTAGGATGTAATTGGAAAATGATAAAAATCAAGGGCTTTGATCGAAAATTAATTAGTGTGGAATTGAAAAAAATCAAAAGAATAAGTATTAAATAATTTCAATTAAGGAGCTAATTGGAGAAAAATAATAAAAGGCACATTGAAATTGAAAGAAATGGACAAAAGAATAAGCAAATTTTATTTCATTCCAACCCTAAACAAAACCCACATATAAGCACATTTTCTCCTCTTTTTTTAAAGAAGGACTCCATTATTCATCTCCTACCCAAAAGCCCAAACCTCCATTAGTCATTTCACACCTAAAAACTCTAGCCTCTATTACTCATCTTCCCCACAAAACCCTAGCCTCCATTATTATTCATATTCCCTATAAAAAAAAAAACAAACAATCTAACCATAAATATCAATCGCCCATACTTAGAAAAAAACCTATCACAAATATAGAAAAGTTAGTATTCATCATCTTTAAAAAAAAAATTGCATTCACATAACCACAAGCTAGAGAAAAAACAAAAAAAAAAAAAAACTACCACCCTAAAAGATGAGATAGCCAAACGACCTCTAACCTAAAACCAAACCTTCTAACTCGCGGGTCAATCCATTAGACCGTCAAAGTTTTCCTCCCAAATCGACCATCCTCTAACAAACTTCACCTTCGACAACCACTATGAATTTATATCTCACACTCATCTTGACCATTTTCAACAAGTTTAAGAGGAAAAAGACGTCATAGGTGATAAAAAATTGGAGGAGAAGCTATGGAACCCCATCTCATTTCTTGACTCATTAGATCCGAGTACAAGTTCTCCTAAATCGATCATTTTTCAGCCATATCAACAA